CAGTGACATTGACTACGCTCTTCCAATTGTGCTGTTATTCTCACTTAAGATGAAGGCTTACAGAACAAAATAGTTTCTCATTTAACAGTTACTACGAATGTTGCCCTATGACAATGGTTAACAATCTCACAACACATCAACAATATCCTTACTCAAGCTTGGGTTCGCTATCACCAGCTTCCTTGTCCCCTTCTGCCTTCTCGCCCTTGTCACGGGACTACTGTACCTCATTAGTCCCATTTGGTTTTACGGGGCTGTCCACTCCCGGGCTGAATGGTGAACCTTGGAGATAACTTCACCACTGAGCTAAAAGGGTGTCTGGGGGCCATACTCTCGGGGTTTCTTCAGTCTCCTTTAGACCAGTAAATCTGGTCTTTTTTTTGTGAGTTAGAATTATGTTCTACATCCTTCTCCAGCTTTGTCCAGAACCCTCTATTGTGATCCTGGTCAGAGCAGTCAGTGGTGGTAGCCGGGCACCATCTAGCTATACTGGACTCAGTGCGGTGGAGGCCTTGGTAGCTGTGGACCATTAGTCCTTTGGACTGATCTTTTCCTTGTATCCTGTTCTCTTCGTTCTCCAAATAAGGGAACTTTTTGAGCAGAGGCACAGTGATAGGAATTTGGGTCAGAAGAGAAGCTGCTTATCGGCGAAGCCAAAGAGATAAGTTTGGAGAAGGAAAGTAGAATCTATTAAGGAAGACTTTTCAGAGCCAGAGTAATGCATTTTATTTTTACACTATGTCCTGTGTGGAACCACTGAAAGTATTTGGGTGGGGATTTGCAATATTGGTTTACAAAGATTAGTTGAGTTGTGCTATATAGTAGACCTTTGACTTTAAAAGATTTTAAATTTACAGTTTCTACTATGTATTCCCAAGAGAATTAGTCTTGGTAGGGGAAGAGGGTGGTAGCAAAGGCTTGGGCCAAACTGAAATTGGTTATATGTGAAAAGCTATAGGTGTATGTTGGTAAAGGAGGGGTCCTAGTTATTAGGAAGGCCCAGAAGCTTTGTGATTTCTGTGGTCTCCATTGGAAACCCAGCATCTAACTTGGTCCAGCATTATACCTCTCTATATGTAGTCTAATCTGAAGGAATCACTTACGTTTAAAGTGACTTTGTAGACTTTGTGGTGAAGAAGGGTAGATTCTAAATTGCCTTAAGATACCAGAGTGGGAGTTAGTTTAGTGCACAGGCAGGAGGGCTGGAGTTAAGCTTGGAAAATTACAGCACCCTTAAATAAATGGGTAGATCTGCTGCTGGATGAAAGATGCCTTTGAATTTAGATTGATTGATTGCCATATCTTAAATATCCTTGTTGGAGTTGCTGGGTGGTGTAAACGGTTAACAAGCTTGGCTGCTAACCAAAAAGTTGGAGGTTCGAGTCCACGAGAGGCCTGTTGACTTCTGAAAGATCAGTCATTGAACACCCTACTATGGAACATAGTTGTTCTACTCTGACACACACGGGGTCGCCTTGAGTCAGAGTCGACTTGACGGCAACTGGTTTTTTAAATACCCTTGTTAAATTTAGGAGTTATAGAGTCATTCTCAGGAGACAAGTCAGATTTAGGTCTATGAATTGTGCATTACCATTATAGATTGGGCATTTTAAGCTAATGATACCTGGTACTTAACCTTTTGAGGTTATTTTCCTGGAGGCCAACTATTATTTCATCCTCCAAGTTCTTTTATAGGAATATATTGAAAGGAATGGATTCTAGAACTTTTAGATGAATTATGTTGGCTAAGCAATTAAAGATAGTATGTTGAATGATATTTTTGTTCCTCGGGCTAGAAGAGAAGAGTCTCTAAAGTTATTCTGTTAATTAATTTTAGTATTAATGAGAATTAGACAGTTGTGGTTTGAATTGGCCACGGACTTCTTTCATTTTGTCCTCAAATGTTAAGTATGTAGTATTGCTATAAAATGCCATAATTTTTTGATTTTTTTTTTAGTAACTTTTAGACATTTTATTATGTTGTAGTTTTGTGTTCATGTCCACAGCTATGGCCCCATGATGAGTAGCAAAAGTAAATCTGTTTTATGTCCCAGTGTAGAATTTCATCAGGGGACCAGAAGCATGGCAAATGATTATAATTAGAATTTTGGAGAAGGCTTCCAACTCTCATTAGATGTAGTGGTTAAGTGCTATGGCTGCTAACCAAAAGGTCGGCAGTTCGAATCCACCAGGTGCTCCTTGGAAACTATGGGGCAGCTCTACTCTGTCCTGTAGAGTTGCTGTGAGTCAGAATCGACTTGACGACAACGGGTTTGGTGTTTGGTTTTTTACACTCATTAAAAGTATCAGTATTTGCTTTTACATCCCCTTATTAGATGAATCAATTTATGATGTCACTTTCCATTTATCAAAAGCATATATTGTCAGCTGCAAGGGTTGATGTCCTTAACCTAAAGTATTTATGTGATATAACTTTGCGATCACTACTTGTTTTTTAATTTCAACTTGATATTGGATCCCGTTTGCTGAAGATGGGGCCCTGGTGGCACAGTGGTTAAGAGCTCAGCTGCTAACCAAAAAATCGTCAGTTTGAATATACCAGGCACTCCTCGGAAACTCCCTGGTGCAGTTCTGCTCTGTCCTATAGGGTCACTATGAGACGGAATCAACTTGACGGCAGCGGGTTTGGTTTGATATTTTGGTGCTGAAGATAATTAAATTCAGTAAATTACATTTTCCAGAGCAGTGTTTTTGTTACTATTGGCGGAAATCTAGAGCAGTTTCTCTGGTGTATCTCTGCCCCTTCCTTGTTCCTAGCATATAAAGTGATCGACATTTCAAAGGATAAACCCATTTGATGATACTAGAATCTTTAGATAAGAAATATATTTTCTGGTGACCTTAAACCTTTGATGCAATCAAATTGTTACTGTGTTTTTCATTGTTTATCAGATATGTCAAACTCTTATTACACAAGTATCTTTTTAAAGAGTCACTGTCTGGAAAAGTTCTGCATTAGAATTAACATTCTCCTCAAAATACTGCTATAGTGGACTATGCTAAATGAAAGAAGCTAGACACAAAAGACCACACACTGTAGGATTCCATTTATATGAGCATGTAGTATAGGCCAGTGCATAGAGGCAGAAAACAGATTAGTGGTTGCCAAGTGCTGGGTGAAGGGAGGACTAGAGAGCGACTGCTTAATGGGTCTGGAGTTTCCTTTTAGGGTAGTGAGAATGTTCTAGAACTAGATTGTGGTGATGGTTGAACAACACTGTGAAATGTACTAAATGCCACTGAATTGTACTCTCTAAAATGGTAAAAAAATTTATGTTACATGTATTTTACCCCCATTAAAAGATACAGCTATAGTGAGTGTCTATTTTATATTGATGCTGTATTATGGTTTCTGGTTTTTCAAGTTAGTTACTATTTGTGAAAACAATCTTTTCTGGTATTTTTTATTTAGGTAAAATGATCCATTCTATGGTAGCTCATCTGGATGCTGTTACAAGTCTAGCAGTCGATCCTAATGGAATCTATTTGATGTCTGGAAGTAAGTTTAAACTTCCTGTGTTACCCTCAAACTTTATAAAGGAATTGTTACTCAGTAACAAACTTTGTGACGTTCTTTTTACAGGCCATGACTGTTCCATTAGATTGTGGAATTTAGACAGTAAGACATGTGTGCAAGAAATAACAGCTCATAGGAAGAAATTGGATGAATCAATTTATGATGTTGCTTTCCATCCATCAAAAGCATATATTGCCAGTGCAGGGGCTGATGCCCTTGCCAAAGTATTCGTGTGATACAACAGAAACTTGCATCATAACAAAAGATTTGTTTGGACAGAAAAGAGGGTCTGCATCACTGCCATCAAAGAGGTTACTGATAAGACACTACACATGATCTGCCTGGGTGAAGGCTATTTAGGAGAGGCATAAATTGGTGGAAATCACATCTTAAATAATGTCAGGTTGTTAATTTAACTGTAATTACTGTATTTGGTGGGACAAAAAGTAAAAAAAGGACTCCAGTATTTGCAGCCTGTACTGGATATGAACTGAGCATATGTCTGTTTTTTAGGTGTCTTTAAGCAAATGTGGAGTCTTACCTTACAAAAAGACTTTTATTTTGGACTCTGTGTGCTGCCTTAGGGTTAGGAATGTGGTGCTCTTGTGGGGGGAAGTGAGCTCCAAGAGTAGCTTTTGTTCATCTCTTAGTGATCTTCTGTTCATCGGTTGAATGCCACAGATTCCCTTTTAAATTTATTTTGCTTTAAAAAAAAAAAAAGAAAGAAAATTTAACTTAAAATATTTTAGCATTAGTTGCACAAAATGTTTGGATAAAATTCTAGTTTTTATAAGTCTTTTTATATATTTAGCCTGTCACAACAGTGCTCAAGATTGTATTGAAGTTTTTCTGCATTATACAACCCTGAAACACAGAGATCTCACTGACCCGCTGGCGTGTAAACACACACTTTACTTCTTTCGCCTAATACAGCTCAACTAAGTCCTTCCATAAAGATGCTAAATCATCTTCATCATCACATAACTGTCTTCATAAACAAAGGACTATTAAGTGTATTAAAATGAAACAGTGGGGTTTAGTACTCCAGATGAACTCTTAAAAAAGAAAAAAAAGCAAACTAATCTTGGCATCCTATCACTATGTGATATTTTGTACATCTTACTGTATTTACAAGTTTATTTATCAAGGAGTATCCATCTTGCTAATGGCCTATTATTATTTATTTCACTTTTTGTTGGTCTTTATATCCTTTTATTAATGTGCTAAAGGGCCCTGTATATCTATTTTGGAACTCTGAATAGTCTAAAATAGACTAAAAATGGAAAATTTTATAGTTTAAGTTGCAAACCAAGGTGGTGCCCCCCAGATACACGTCTTGATTTACCATTATTCCAAACAAAACTATCTTGTTTTAAAAATATTTGGAGTAAAAATTTTATTTCGCATTACAAATGTGATACAAAAAATAGTTGAATCAAGATACAGAAATCTGCTGTGTTTGGAGTAGTTATCCCTGTTTTTATTTTTTCAGATGTGCTTAATTTTATGGTGTAACTAAAGATTTTGTTTGTGTAATGCATGATTACGACAATAAAGTATTTTTTCTAGTCTTCCAAAAAACTTTTCTGATCAGTTTGCGAGTTTTGATGAGTTTTGTAAGGTTTTTGTTTTACAAACTATGAATCAGCAAATTTTTAAGATTGTACCACATAGCAAACGTACAGCTGTTGAAAAATAATGTATATAAAATGCATATAATAAATATTAAATTGTGTACCTGTATGTTACTGTTGACTATATTATTTTGTGTTGAATAATAAAGTGCAATACTTTACTCTCCATTATTAAACTAGGATATGGAGATGATTTCTTAGTCCTTCATTTTTATGCTGTTCTTTTAAACTTTGTACTGTTTATTGATATTCTAATAAGATTAGAACAGTTAACACTAGCATTCAGAATGCCTTTCCAAATATTTCACCCTACTTGGGATTTTTAATTTTTATCTTCTATTGAAATGTTAGACAATTCAAAATAACCAAAAAAATTGCAGGGATGCATTTTTAAATCATTTGCTTAGATGTCCTGTTACCTTACTAAGTCTGAATTTCAATTAATTAACAGTGTTGTCTTTCCTATGTAGCCGTTCCCATTTCCACACACAGTTCAGTAAAGACTAAACTACATTTTTCATTAATTTATCCTTAAAAATAACATTAAGTATTAGTATCTTGAAACTTTGTCCTTCAACAAGGTAAATGCCTATCCTTTTATTTTTGAAGGGAACTGCAAATGGAAGTAGAAGGCAACATTAGAAAACATATTTGTCAAAATTCTATTAGAATGCATGCTGCAAAAAAATTTACATTGTGTGTAAATTTGAGAAACTTTGTCATATACTATAAAAATCCAAGTGGAAGTTTCATTATTGCTGATAAAACACTAAAACTTTTTAGAAATTAAAAAGAAAAATCAATTTTTGTTTTGTTTTTTGAACTGAAGATTCAACTAGTGAAAAAATTAAAAGGGCACTTTTCTTCTTTTTTCTGTTTTTTAAATAATTTAAGAATCTGCTTTTCCAAAGCTAGTATTGTTTCTGGCAGCTATTCTAAACCAATGCATTACTGTTTAGCTGAAATGTGATTATCATTGCAATGCATAATAAACATTCACCTCTTTTGGAATGTATTAAAACTAAAATGGATAAAAATTGTTTATTTTTGTCTCTACTTCGGTTGTATTTTTCTCCACAATATTAAACATTTGGAAGAGGCTGAAGGGATGGAAAAAGAGTGTCGTATTTCATTTTATGTACTTTCATGTTTGATTTATTGGAAGTTATGTAGATTCATTTGTGTGTTACTTAAATTCTGCTTTATACTATGTTAAGGGTAGTCGTTTTATATACAAACCTTGATATGCTGACCTTTTTTTCGGCATGTAATCATATTCTGCCTCTTTTTCTTATTTTAGTGACTCATATGCTTTTCTCATATTTCAAACTAAGTAAGTTAGCCACTGAAGACTAACATCTCATTTACCGCATTAAAAATTATAAATGGATTAGAGTATTTGAAATTTAGGCTTGCCTGCTCAAGTTGGATTGTAGTAGATCTTTTTACTGATCAGCACAGGAGTTTTGACCTCCGATTCCGACCTGTGCCAGTTCACCCCTGCTTAGGCAACCTGGTGGTCCTCTGCTCCTGGGAGGTTACCATGTCGCTGCCAAACTTAATGTGGACACCCGATTGCCAAAGCGCACTACAGCCCAGAACTCCAGGACTCAAGCAATTCTCCAGCCTCAGCCTCCTGCATAGCTCGGACTACAGGCATGCACCATCGCACCCAGCTGTAATAAACCTTCTTAAAAATAATTTCTCTATTACCACCTTTTAGTTGTTAATCCTTTATCCTGATCTTTTCTTGATAAAATAACTGATCGTAAATTATTAAGTGATGATTTCTGCTCTTGCTGCTCTTTAAGTCACTAAAAATATTAGCTGCTCTGGTTACCTCAAGTGCCTCAGAACTTTTATAAAATTAAGGAAAAACATTTTTTAAAGGGCTTTTAAGGGATAATACTCCCAGCCAAGAATTTGTGGTCTATTTAATGGGGAAAAAAATCATGTCAAGTTAAACTCATTTTTGTCTAATTAAAATTCTTGTTACATGAATCAATCATATTTGCAGCTTTTTTGTGGGGTAGGGGAGTTGTCTTCCCAGACTCCATCAAATGTTTATGTAGTGTCAAGGGCAATTTCAGTTCTGCCTCTCCCTTCACATATTTCATTCCTTTTTTTGTAGGCTATAAATTGTTAGACCCAAAGATTTACTGGAGTATATATTATTCCAACCAGCTAACACCTTTTTCAGGTCAACTGTTTGATTGTAAACCACTTCAGATAAGATCTGTATATGTTTAAAGGGAGGTAGGGTTTGCAGGCAAATGAGAGAGAGGACAGGTCCTGCCTTTAGAGAAGACGGGCAGGACAGGATGATAGAGCACCTCTGCTACGGAGCAGCCTTGTCAAGCTAAGCATCTAAGTCACATTAAGGGAGTTTTGATGTTCACCTTCCTTTGAAAGCAACTTCAGGAGCACATATAAGTAAAAGCAGTGTTAAGTACAAAACATTCTTTTTGTTGAAGCAAGTACCCAAAAGCATCTCTCATACTGTTTAACCTGGTAATGGTTGTGTATAAGGCCTAGAACAGTGCCTAATACAGAGTAGGCTTTCAATAAATGAGTAAAAGGAAAAAAGAAAAACCCGATACTTGGCATTGCATGATTTAAAAAAAAAATTCAGATTGGTTTTTCCACATGAACTAGTGAATACTGAATTTTTACCATATCTTAGGGACAGACAATTGCAATAATAAAAGGCAGCTTAGAATAAGTCACTAGCAATTTTTATTTCTCAAATATTCAAACTACAGTAATTTTTCCTGCAGTTTTGTTATTTGCAGTGTATTTTTTCTTTAAAGCTAAATGCTTGAAATATAAGCGATAAGTAAAAGCTTTACCAACTTAACATTTTTTATTTTCAGTACATGGATGACTTCTAGAATGCAAGCTAAATATACCTATACACATATAAAATTGTCTAATTAAAATTAAGGATATAAATAGAAAAATACCAGGCAATCCTGCCATCTTGTTCAGTGTGATATTTTCAGTCATAAATTGTGAAAATACACTAGAAAAAAGCTCGATACACGATTCCTTTCCATATCATCCAAAATTTAACATTTTAATTGTAGGTTGTGTAGTCGAAGTAACAACTATTTTACTGTTCATTGGTTTTAAGAAAACATCTACTTGGGTCAAAATGTTCATACTTAAACTATGTTTTTAAGAACTGGTTTGTATTGGAGTTTCATTTTATATATCCAATACAGAAATGATTAGAGAAGGAGGAGTGTTGCTGTTGGTCTGAGTATCAGATTCTTTTATTGAGCTATACATTTAGTAGGGATATTAGAATAGATTTAAATCCATGATACCTCTTTTCTGAGTTTCTAAGGGTCATGATTAAGAAGCCTCAGCAGAGTGTTTTGAACAAAGTCTATAAATTGTAATCAGAAGGTAGTGGCTTTGAATGCTTATTTGCTTAAAACAGCTGTTGACATCTTTAATAGTTTTGTATCTGATCCTATTATGTGCTATATTCAGTATTAAGAGAATACAACTCATACATTAGAGCCCCTTGAACTTTTTCTTTCAGTTGTCAAATATCACCATTATTGCTGGGATTCTAAGAAATCTCTACAAATGCCTCTGATGACGTCAGAAACAATTGGTTCTAATCCTGTGAACTCTCTCGTGAAGAAAGCATGAGACTCCTTGGGTTTAGAGGCCATGTCTTTCAGGTCATCCAAAGGTGCCCAGGCCACACCAACAGAGAAGATGGTGATACCTACAATGGAAATATTTTAAAGTGAATTGAAATCAGGTTCCAGCTTATATACAAAATTATGTGTATATAATTTTCCAAACATTTGTACGTAGAGAAAACTGCCTATGAATGTCTGAAGAATTAAATCTGTACCACATTGCTAGGTAGGTTTTGACAAGTCATTGTGATGAGAGTGGCTTAACAGTTTTGTCAAAACCAGAAGCTTTGCCATCAGTGTACTTCACCATAAAAATCATGATCACTTAGAGCACAACTAGATGGTGCCCAGCTACCACCACTGACGGCTCTGACAGGTATCACAATAGAGGGTCCTGGACAGAGCTGGAGAAAAATGGAGAACAAAATTCTAACTCACAAAAAAAAGACCAGACTTACTGGCCTGACAGAGACTGGAGAAACCCTGAGAATATGGCCCCCAGATACCCTTTTAGCTCAGTAATGAAGTCACTCCTGAAGTTTACCCTTCAGCCAAAGATAAGACAGGCCCATAAAACAAGACTAAAAGGGTACACTAGGCCCGGGGCAAGGACTAGAAGGCAGGAGGGGACAGGAAAGCTGGTAATAGGGAACCCAAGGTCAAGATGGGCGAGTGTTGACGTGGGGTTGGTAACCAGTGTCACAAAACAATATGTGTACTAATTGTTTAATGAGAAGCTAGTTCTGTAAACTTTCATCTAAGGTACAATAATTTTTTTAAAGTAATATAAAAAAACACCGATACAGAAAAAATACTTGATAAAGTTCAGTATCATTCATGCTAGAACACAGAAAACTAGGAATAGAAGGAACATTATCGATAAAGTGTATACCTCCCCCGCCAAAAAAAAAAAGACCGTACAGCAAATGTACCTGGTTGAATGATTTAAAAGAAACTGAGACTGGCACCAAGAGGGGATTGCCTGCTATCATTGCTTCAATTAATCACTATTACTGGAGTCATAGCCAATATAACAAGAATGGCATAAAAGATGGGACAAGTAAATGGAATTAAAGTTTTCTAAGGTTGTAGCATGGTCCGGAAAATGGTGACCAGTCCTTCTGAATAATGACAACTGTTTCTTCCTTTCTGATCTTTATGTGTTACATTGGCAAACTGTCCAGTGGTCAATTTGTCACTCCTTAATCCCAAAGCAAAAATCTTCTCGTTATATAAACAGCCAAAGAGAAATTTCTATAAAGTTGAAATAGTTTCCTCTAATTACACTGAGGCACTCTCATTGATACTCCCTTGAGTTACTAGATGGCTTTTAGTCCAACTACATTTTTGTTGGGGTGATACTACATTAGTTGGATTCTCCTTATTCTCAATTGTAGAAATAGTCATTTGGCAGATTTTTAGTGTAGACTACCATCTATCTTCTGGTGAATGAAATTCTCTATAACAACCTAACACGTTTTGAGAGTTTCTTTAATAGCTACTCTCCTACTATTCAAGCCTTCATTCCCCTTCTAGTGGTATACAGTGCTCAGAGTTGTGAAGATTTAAAATATAAAGCAGGTTTAGCTGATGTAAAAGCTACTTGAAGCAATTTCTGATATAGCAAATAGGTTTTCACTTCAACACAGGTTAGTTGCTGTTGTATAAAATACAAAAAAGCTAGATACATAGTTTAAATTGCCCGTCAGTTCTCTGTCATACTTAGTAAACAATGTGTGTATGTGTGTGTGTGTAACACACACACACACACGAACATTAGCAGAGGTGGTAATGTATAGAAAGAAAAAAGTCATTAGGAATTAAATAGAAAAGAGGGAAAAAAGGAGGTGTAAAAGAGTTAAGGACAAATACAAGGCTGTTGATCACCCCTGCCGAAATTACATTTTTATTTTTATTTTTAAATATGATTAGACTCCAGTCACATATTACAGGAAAGGGAACTATTGGCCTACTTGATCTCAGCAATGCATTTTGCTAATGTCTTCAGGAACTAGTGTCCTTTGCCAAAAGTAATCTTAAGGTTAGGGTGAGGGAGAAAGAAAAACTTTTATACCTGTTTATAACACCACAGTGTGCATTATTTCAAAGGGAAGGGGTGGGGGTGGAAGGAGAGAAGGAAGGTAAGATTAAAGTCTATTGGAGATGTTATCTTAGAAGACTCATGCAGACTGAAAACTAATAAAAAAAGTTATGATAAATTATTGAATGGCAGATTCATAGTAGGTTACAGTAAACTATGGTCATTTGGGGATGTACTCCAAGTCTGAGCCAAACATGGGCACTTGAAGCATATTTTCTTGACATGTGACATGGTTCTCACAGTAATTCTCCCAGTGCTGTTGTGGTAAGGAGCATGGACTCTGGATCCAGACATGGCTGGGCTTGAATCCTGGCTTCACCACTTGTTAGCTGTGTGATTTAGGGGAAGTTATTTAACATTTCTGTGTTTGCTTCCTCATCTGTAAATGAGGTCAGTAGGGCTGCTTTGACAATTACATGAATTCATACTGGATAAAACTCTTAGAATAGTGCCTGTCACATTGTGTTTGTTCAATAAGATACATGTTCAACTTATTTTCTCCTAAAGTTCACTGGACTCCTCCCTCAGTTCCCGTCCCTTGCAAAAGACTTACCTGACTCATGTGCAGCAGCAGCAGGGCCTTGGACATCATCATAGGACTGCCCATCTGTGACAATTACTAGGAAGTTCTTGTTGGGGCTGTCCCTCACGGGACCAAACACGTTTCTAACAGTAAAGGAAATGGCATCACCAGTAGCTGTTCCACCACTCATATAGCGGATGTTTCTGATGACAGCTAGGACATTCTCTTTGGTGCTATAGTCAGTGAAACTGAATTCTGTGCGCTGATCATAGGTGAACTGTACAGCAGCTATCTTGGCGCCAATGTCAGAGATTTCAAAAGTCTTGGCTATGTTGGAAACAAATTCAAGCATGAGGCGGAAATTACTGTCTCCAACACTGCTGGAGCCATCAATGAGGAAGGCAATGTTGACAGAGTTATAACAGGTCTTGCTGCACATCATTTGCTCATGAGTGCAGAGCTTCTGTACTAGAGGCTTTACATATTTGGTGGTGCCAAACCAGTTGGGCATATGGTAAGAGAAGAAACCATTGTTCCGACAGACAGCCTAATGGGGGAGACACACAGAAGATATCCAAAAGGATCAAAAGTTGTTTTTCTTAAGATTATGAAAGCATTTAATCTTGAGTATTCAGTTAATCCAATATGGGTCAGCCAGCACTATCTATAGATCCAGAATTGAGTCACTGCTATAAACACCCCTCACCACCTTACCTTGTCAACAAATGCAACATCCTGAACCATCCCCAGTTCTTCAGGGATAGGCTTGGCCACAGAAACTATAAATACATTGACACCAAACTCTCTGGCCACAATGCCTGCTTCCTCAATGTCATCAGAAGGCCAGCCATCGATAAACACCACCACCACTTTGGGGATCCCTTTTCTCACTCCAGTGTCTGCCGTGAAGAATTTCTGGGCTGTATGCTTCAAGGCTTTCCCTAGGTTTGAAAAAAAAAACAAATTGGAGCAGCATTTACCACTGAAGAAAGGGTATTTCTATTTCCCTGCAGCAAGTTGATGCCACTAAGTTTAAGGATATGACTTATAGAGAACTCTGTTCTGTAACACATGCATCAGGTGGGAAAGTTTAATTATCCATCAGGCTATTTTTTGTTTTACAACCCACATTATTTCCCCCTCCACCTCCCAGAAGCCTCACATTTCCTTTTCTCACATCAATCAACAGAAACACAGAACTGGCGTCTACTCCTGTACAGGCAATCCCCAGTTACAACTCATATTTTCCCTTTAATATTATGTAAATTTGCCCTCACTTTGAAATGAATGACCTAACCTCTACTCACAACAAATTCTTCACCTTCATCACAATCACCTTGCTGCATGTGCAGCTTTTAAGCCACTGAAAAGGCTTTGAGCCTTTTCCTGCACTAAAGTAAGGTTAAATAAGAATCGTACACACCTGTTGCCAACTTACAAATCTGACTTAAAGGCACAGTTACAAACGGAGCTGTTCGTAACCTGAGGATTGCCTGTACCTGCGCCTTCTATCTAACCCCTTGGTGACTGATTTAGTACCTCTTAGGGCTGAGTAGAACAAGAAGTCTCTGTTAAGAGGGTCAGCGCTACTCTAGTTCCTTCTGCTGTATCTGTATTCTTTATATAAGTCTGTTGATCCTTGCTTCTCTTTAACACTGTAAAAAGATACTTTTCTAAAGTGACATCTGGCCTATCTAATATAATGATTACAAATCACAATACTTTGGCCTTTTAAAAAATAAGAAATTATCAATTAACCCTTTCATACATTTCCCATTATAAATTGAATAGTTAGATGATCAAGTACAAACCTAACCAAAATTTCAGTGCCAGGAAGAAGAGCTTCACATTTGTTTATATAAAATAGTGCAATATTGTTTTATATGTCTGGTCACTGATAACCCTCCCCTATATTACATCCCAGGTGCCAAAACAAAGTCTACTTACCTGTATTGGAATTACCCCCTCTGAAACCTACTTCCTTTATGGCAAACAAAACATCTTTGGCTGATGTAAAGTTTTTCAAGTAAAATTCTATTTTTGGGTGTTCACTAGTAGAAAAACAAGAACATGTTATTCAGGGAAAACTAAAATGGCAAAACAAGCAATATTATATACCTTTAACATTACATCTTTAAATCATACAATACCCAACGTTGTTTCTTCATCTCACAGTACTGTCAACTAAGGTTCTGCTGCATCCCCATTTGAATTACTGGGGATATTTCAGAAATGCAACAAGAAAACTGCTACATTGAGGGCTTATTCTGAAGGGCAATGCACTAAATACATACAGCATGCATAATCTCATTTCATGATAACTCTTTTTGTTGTTGTCGAGTCTATTCCAATTTATAGTGACTTCATGTGTACAGAGTAGAACTACAAGGTAGGAATTATTATCCTTATTTTATAAGTGAATTAACTAAGGCTCAATACTTAGGTAATTTGCCCAACAAAACATAGCCACATTTTAAATTAAGGTTTGTCTGCCTCCAAAGTCCATACCTAAACCATATGGAGCAACCGAAACTAGGCTTGTCTTAGGGTGTTGGGCTTAATGGAAATCTGAAGAATTGAGCACCAGGTATCTGGAGGGAACACCAGTTGAAAGGCTGGGTCTGCTCAGGTGGAGGACCCAGAAAGCACTGAACAGCCTAGACTGATTAACTCAGGTCTCTAGTCAGAAGGGAAACCCTGGTGGTGTAGGGGTTAAGAGCTATGGCTACTAACCAAAAGGTTGACAATTGAAATCCACCAAGCGCTCCTTAGAAACTCTACAGGGCAGTTCTACCCTGCCCTATAGGGTCACTATGAGTCGGAATTGACTCGATGGCAATGGATTTTTTTTTTTTTTTTCTGGTCAGAAGAAGCAATTTCAATTACACTAGGGCCAACATTTTAAAAATGGAGAAAGTATTATAAAGTATTGCAGTATTATAATACATAGTATCATACTAGAGTATAATAGTATTACTCTATTGAATTTTTCTTATGGTAAGTGATACTGACATTTGCCAACAATTAAAATTATATTTAAGTGATTTTGGATTTTATTTTCCATATTTAATATTAAAAGAATTTCACCTCACTTGTATAAATTAGTTTATGCTCATTAGAGACTATATTGAGTAAAAACCATTAGTTAAACAATTATTTGTTGAATTTAGTTTTTAGATTAGTCAATATTTCATATATGAAAAATTTTAAGATCTTGGCATTATCAGTGGCCATTTTATTTATTATGTGAAGATTTCTGAGGAACAAGTATAGCACTGATTGCATCAGATTTCTGCATGCTTAGTGAAATGTTGGGTCACAAAATCAGATTTCGTGGGTTGATGACCTTTTCTCTTTTATGGTCACTTTTCAACTATCCAAATAATTTATGAGATTAGTCTTATTTTTGTATTCTTAATATATTCTGTTATTTTGCTTAAAAAGAAACTCATGGCAAATTTTATCTATTGTTCTTCCTAAGGAGCCCTGGGGGTGCAATAGTTAAGCGCTTGGCTGATAACTGAAAGGCAAGCAGTTCAAACCTACCAGTGGCTCTGCAGGAGAGAGATCTGGTGATCTGCTCCCATAAAGAGTACAGCCTAGAACATGGTGCTATAGGCAGAAGCACCACGCTGTCCCTCCACAGCAAAGATCTGAAAAACTAGCCAAACAGAAAAAATAGCAATCCTGAAACCCTAAGTATCAAATGAAGAGATCAAGAACTCAGCCAAGCACCGAATGGAATAAGAAACTGACAGAGAGCAGACAGTGAGGAGAGATACATGCAGAGGTCCCCTATCAGCTAATGCAGCATGGATCTGCCATCTTGGACTCCTATCAGAGACCAGTGAACAGGGGGTGCGAGAAAGCAGCTTCACGGAGCTTCCAGCAGGAGATACAACAACTGGTAATCAGCAATATACGCTTTCCCACCCCGCACCCTATCTATGCAAAAAAAACAGTCAACATCATTCTTAATGGAGAGAGGCTAAAAACATTCCCCTTAAGAACAGGAACACGACAAGGATGCCCTTTATCACCACTCCTATTTAACATTGTGCTGGAACTTCTAGCTAGAGCAGTAAGGAAAGAAAAAGAAATAAAGGGCATCCAAACTGGTAATGAAAAAGTTAAACTGTCCCTGTTTGCAGATGATATGATACTATACACAGAAAACCCTAAAGACTCCATAAGAAAACTACTGGAACTAATAGAAAGATTCAGCAGAGTAGCAGGATACAAGATAAACATACAAAAATCAGAG